CCTGCTGAAGCTGACCAGCGGCTGACTACAGGAAGCCCGAGGCAGAGTTGCTCTGCCCCAGGCTTCCTGGAATCAGCCACTGATCAGTTTCAGCAGCAGCTGACTTGGGGACGCCTGGGTTTCTTAAGTTGAATCTGTATGTAACTGATCAGTGTCAGCAGCGGCTGACGCCAGTTCCGACTTACATACAGATTCAACTTAAGAACAAACCTACAGTCCCTATATTGTACGTAACCCGGGGACTGCCTGTACCTGGATAAGTGTGTTTAGTCTACTCTGGTAGAAGGTCTGAGGTTTATTTATTGTTGCAACTATTGCAAATTTCTAGTACCAAACAGTTAAAGGCAACCTCTGCTTTTCTACATCTGTAAATGAAATATGGGATTGAATTCTACAATAGATTTAGCAGCAACACTGAAGGATGATAGTGAATTTGTCAGAATGTTAACAGCAAACATGTCATTTTTTGTCCAAGTAAAAGTGTGTGCTGGAAGAATAATAAATTAGCAGTTTTACATGTTAGCTGCTTAAGCAGCAGACAGCTATTTTTTCCTAGTTACATTTTGTACAAAGAAACATCATCTCTTTTAAACCCAATTTTTTAGCATATCTTGAAGTGTGAAGAAAGTTTTTACAATATTAAAGGATTATCACTGGGGCTAGTAGCTAAAATTTAGGTCAAAGAGTCACAATATAAGAGTCAAAGAGCCTGTATTTCACAATATAATAAAAATGATACCTACTTCTTACATAACAGTTGATGTCTGTAGCTCTCAAAGCATTTAGCGAAGAAGATAAAACTCCATTTTAAGGATGAGGAAAGTGGGGGGAAATGACTTATTTGAGGGCGTTATCAGCATGTCCCATGGGTGACTTAAAATTCCTACTGCTGAGTGAAGCACCCAAATAAAAAACAGATCACAGCATTCAAATATGTGTCTATATCCTCTCCACACTCCTAGTTCTGTGCTTTTCAATAAGCCAAGGATTGCAGAAAAAGGGAGGCTGGCAATCTAGGAATGTGGTCTTCATTTCCGAGCCTGATAGAGAAATAGGGTATAGTATTACAGGCAGGCCTGGCCTGCAGTCCTAGTTCATGTTTATTTTAGCCATCTCATCAGTTGTCACAAGATTTGTTACAGCCTCCATTCTGGATGATTGGTAAAAAAAATGTTAAAATGATGTTTTTTTATTTATAAAATGAAGTGGGTGGCAGGGCAAGAATCCTGTTACCCTGGACTTGTTGCTCTTAAAATATGCACTGCATTTCTTAGTATCTAACAGCATGCTCCTGGGTATTGTACATCAATTACTTTTTTTTCCCTTTTGCAGGTTTTGTGGTTTTTGCAACACTTGTCGTCATTGTGTCCTTAATACTGATATTTGTGGTAGGACCTCGCCACGGACAGACCAACATTCTTGTGTACATAACAATCTGCTCTGTAATTGGAGCGTTGTCAGTCTCCTGTGTGAAAGGCTTGGGCATCACTATAAAGGAACTTTTTTCAGGAAAGCCTGTGCTAAAACATCCTTTGTCCTGGATTTTGCTGCTAAGCCTTATAGTCTGTGTGAGCACACAGATCAACTATTTAAACAGAGCTCTGGATATATTCAACACTTCTATAGTGACTCCGATTTATTATGTGTTCTTTACAACATCTGTTTTAACTTGTTCTGCTATCCTTTTCAAGGAGTGGCAACACATGTCTGCTGCTGACATTATTGGCACCTTCAGTGGTTTTCTTACGATCATTGTGGGGATCTTTTTATTGCATGCCTTTAAAGATGTCAGTTTCACTCTAGCAAATCTGCCTGTCTCCTTGCGGAAAGATGACAGAGCAGTGAATGGCACTCTGCCAGCCACATATGAATGCTTTAATCATAATGAAGAAAGCTCAACCTGTATAAGTGAAATACAATCCAGTGAGAGTGTTTCCTCCAGGAGAAATGGAAATCTGGCAGCTTTCTGACAATGTATTAAGAACAATTCTGTAACTTCTTTTGCTGTAAAATGTTTGAGGTTTTCTGGAAGCAGATGGTGTACTTTAAAAAATGTACAGACAATCCTTAATTTTTAGGTTTGATTAATTTGGACCAAGAATAGTGATGGAGTTTCAATTTGCCTTATATTTACTTTAAAAGACACACTGAAATGACCTCAGTACATGTTTTTGTTGCTCTTGAGTTGCCTGTGTAAACTTGTAAATATTTTTAATTTGGATTTTCCATTTTAAAAACTTATTGCACTAATGATGATTTTAACTATATAAAAATAAAGTGCTCTAATTTTGCATTGGTGGTAAGTACATTGACTTGAACCTGAGTCTTTTGAATAATGAATATTCGGCATGTGTGTTTCAGCATATAAAACATAAACTAAAATGCGAGGGACATGCACTGAAAGGTGAGGGGAGCAATTTACAATGAATGTCATTTAAATGGCTAATTTGGAAGCATATAACAAATGTTTTAGTAGTGGTCATTACTTTAAATTTGAAACAGTAAAGACTCAGGAAGTGTACATTCAGAATGGTTTATTTTAACTAATTTAAAATGTTTTAAAATTGAAAAAAGTCTTACCGTAACCCTGGAGAGGTCATTGCTAACAATGAGCAAGAATATCCGAGATAACTATTGCAGTGAATCATAGGTAAGATGTAGTCATCTCTCTCAGGAAACTGGTGCCCAAATCATTTATTGATTGTAGTGATAACTGCCACTTTCAAGATGTTTTCCAAAGAGTGCATTTTTTTAGTTCAAACCTCTGGGGTGACTCCAGTAAGCCATTAAGTATTTTACCACAAGGTCCACATGCAATATCAATTTTTCATTCTACAGTAAACTTCCAATAATCCGGCACCTTTAGGACCCAGGGGGTGCCGGACTATCAGACGG